TAAATTAATTAATTAATTAAGTCCAGTGGATTGTTTTTTTTTTTCTTTTTTTGGAAAGTCTGTCTACACGTTTGTCCTACTGTACCCTTTACGTTCCTGATACTTTCTTTGGGAAAACTTTACTTGTTATGAAATATTTGCCTTTAACAAAATCATTTACATGTTAACTAGACTTAGACTTTACACAGATTTATTTAGTCATTTTTTATACACAAGTGTAAACAACAACAGTTCTCTAGACAATTTCTGTTTGGTTACCAAAAGCAGCTCCTCAAACTGTACAATTGAGTTAAATTTCTAATAAGTTAATGTTTACAAAGACTGGACTTTTCTTTAATTTAAATGATACCTCACTTGTCCAAATGTATCACACTGTCAGGAGGTTTTATGTAATTGATGTGTTCCTGTTTTTCTTGGACTATAAATGTGAAGATTTTTAATGACTCTTCAATTGGGTAAATACATGCAAACATAGCTTTGCAGTAACATCATAAAAATAGGTTAAGCTCATAAATATGGAAAAATGTCTGCAAATAAATACTTGCCTAATAGTTTCAGGCAGGATTTGAAAACAAACATTAGCTCCAAAGGCCAATTTGTAGCCTTAAATCATCTAGATGGATGATTTCATGACTTTTACGTTATTTCAACTTCATAGCATATATCTTCCAGACTTTTAGATTTTGTGCTCTGTAAATGAAAGAAATTATTTTTTTGCACACTTCCAAAGTCACCGGTTATCTTGTAAGAGCAAATGTGTGCACCTCTTGCCATCTGTAAGGTTGAGGACCTGTCATGCTGTGGGCCTGTTTCTTTATACTGGATAGATCTTTAGGGTGTAGTGTACCAAATATCTCTTAAGCAGAATTTTATGGACTTCACCAAAAAAACTAAAAATGTTCTCCTTCTTTTGTTATCCAGCCAACCAGAAGTCCAGGCAGTGGCTCAGCCACACCCTCAGGCACGCCCACCAAGAGCTCGGCTCTACAGGAACTCTACATCCCACCTCCACCTGCTGAGCCCTACACACCCAGGTACCTCCTCTGCTTCTTCTTAAGGATAACTACAGCCTTCAACATGCTCATATCTTCTGATGAGTGCCTGCCTCTGGTTTTGCCATAGAGATGAGACAGGAGCCTTGTCTGGAGATGAAGCATCCCGTAACCGTGGTGGCATCAGTGCTGCCAAACGCTCTGAATCACCAAACTCCTTCCTGGATCAAGAGTCTCGCCGGCGAGAAGAGGAGGAGCCAGTGTACTGCACCACGCCCACATATGGTCCGCAGGTTTTACCCACAATGCATCACCACCTGAGTTTAGGCCTGTTCTGTAGACGGAAATCAATAATTATTAGAAAGGAAATCCACTCATCAGACATTCATGAAGATTGTTACAAGGGAGAAATTTACAATTCGTTTTGTAATAAAATCCAAATCATGCAAAATTAAGTTATATTGAACTGAAAAAATTCTTTCAAAATGAAAATGGAATATACAGGCAATTTGGAAAGCCAATAATGAGGACATTTTATTCTAATGTGCACTTGTAGGCAGGCTGAGGCCCATCTCCATGCCTGTGGAGTGCAACTGGGTGGGCGACTACGAAGACCCAGCCAAGCTGAACAGAGAAACCCGCAGAGGTGAGCGCACGGGTTCGTATGCGTCTCCAGAGGAGCAGGTTGGGTCCCGGTAAACGTTCCCATTTGTATGAATTACAGAGCCATCAGCTAGTATGCAGATCTGCAGACCTCTTTTCTACTACCCCCTGTCATTAGCAACACAGAGGAACCAAATAGAAGCTGATGAGGAGCGAAGGAGGTAAAGAGGCGCAGAGATAGCCGGCTATGACAAAGGCAGAGGAAATGAAAGGCAGCCATGAAAGAAGAAAAAAAAATGAAGAACCAAAAGAAGAGGAGATGAGAACAGACAAAAAAAGGAGTAAAAAAGATCGTTCTCTCTGACCTCCACCTGAATCACTCACACAGTTTCCATGGAGACGCTGACAGCTTCTCACTTTCCTCCGGTCGCTGCTTAGCAACCCTGGTAAGGACAGGAGGGAGGAAACTGCAGAGGGAGTGGAAACATCAGTTTATAGGGAAGGTGGAGAGAAGTTTGAGAGGTGGAGGGGATGCACGGAGCTAATCCAGTGAGCAGCTATAGTCCTGACAGATTACAACACTGCTTTCATTTATAGGATCAAACAATAAACCCAGGTGGAGGAAACCTGTTTGATGGCAAAGAGTAATTTGATTTAATTTCTATATTTAAGGGCATTATTTTCAACTTAAAAGAAGCTGCATAAAAATGAAACTCTTTGTAAAGGCTATCGACGGGTCTATCTGGGTCGGCCTATACCTCAGCCTCTTCCTGGTCCTTCCAATATTCAGCACCATAGAAGAGGAGAGGAGCAAAATCCAGCAGCCGAGCAGCTGTGATGGTCCAACCACATCCTGATTTGTTTTTCAGAATCTTTCCAAGATGCTGTTAAGCTGTGAGGTGGACGACTTAATGTCATTACTGAGAGAAACTGAACTTTTGTGTACATGAAAGAAGTCTAAGATGGGTTTTAGCTCATGAATAATAGGAGCAACAAAAAAAATTGTTGCTCTTTTATTGTGACGTGTATATAATGTATACACACACATCGCTACAACAGTATAACCAGAGATGTCAAAACTATTAATGTCTATCACTCAAGTAGAAGTAGGATTCCTACTGTTGTAGAGGTTAGAGTATCAAAGGAAGCTTTTTACGCAAGTTAAAGTGTAAACATATCATTTTTACTACTGCTTAAAGTATAAAAGTAAAAATAATGCAGGAAAAATGTTAAGGACAGATGCTTAAACTTTATACTGGTTATGGCGCCACTGTATTAAAGGAAAATGTTTCTACAATTCTGGATGATAACTTCCTTATACTTAATTCTCTTAGTTTTATGAGTAATGACAACAGTCTCAAATTTAACTTGCATCATCTTAAAAATGAAATATTTATTTTGGTATTTGGTGAAAAGCACGTACGTAACGTAATAGTCTGGATAAAATAAATAATTTTCATGGACTTTATTTTTTTTAAATACCAGACCATAACAAGAATGGACATAAATGAAACAAAACTAAAGAATCTATTTTTGAAATCTAAGGAGTAGAAAGTAGAGATAATTGCAAAAAAAAAATGCAAGGAATACAAGTCAAAAGTTGTCTAAAAAAAATTCCTCCAATGAAGTATAGATAGACAAAATTTCTACTTTAGTAAGGTAATGAGTGTTTGTACTTTGTTACTTAAAACCTCAAAATACAGCTATGCTGCAAAAAATGCTTGTTAACGAGCAAGCATTTACAGTATACCAAATTATCTGCCAACAAAAAGGTATACATTTAAAAAGTATTTTTTTTGCTATTGAATATGTCAAAATATAGTTGTGATTGTGGAAATTAAAAGGTTTCTATCGCTCCATCACAAATGTAAATATGTTGAGTTTTTATGGACCCAGTGATGTCAAATACCAAGGTCAGACTAGCCTTAGACAGAGCTTAGGCTAACCTAATGTAAGGGAAAGGATGAGTATGTTGGAAACAGCTGGTGTCCAGTGTTTATTAGAAGAAGGGGAGCAGAGGAAAATTCAGAACAATCGTACTGACATGAATAATCTAAGATCTCTCTCTTGTAAGGATCAAACCTTTTTGAAGAGTTTGCTAAAGCAGAATCTATATTTACTTGCAGTAAGGGATTCCACACTGAAAAGGTGTGTTTGTTAACTTTTGCTGCCGTTTGTTTCTGATAACACTTTTAAAACCCCATGGCAAGGTAAAAAAACAGAGATGGCGATCTTTCGGATTAATGTCTTTCTTATCAAGTGATGTCGCCCAGAGGGGATCGGTACCTCATTTTTTAACCAGGGCTGCTGAGTTCAGCCTCTCTGCTACATGTTGGCAGCTTTAATGCATCGTCAAGGTTTAGATAAGGTGAAGATGACAGTCCTTTAGTTTGATTTTGACTGCTGGCAGACTTCCTGTTTTATTAGGTTTATTTTAGTGCTCAAACTGAAAAGAGATGTAGATCACATCACAAAGGAGGCTTGTGAATATAATTCATCCCCAGATAAGCCAGTATTGATGTTATCATTATTGGTTCAAATTTAAATACAATTACCTTTTTTTGAATCTGTTCGTCTTTAAAATGTTTTAATGAATCCAGAAAACTAGAGCATATTTATACCTAAGTCAAACACAATGGAATGGTTTTGAGAATCTAAAAGAATGAGTGTGATACTGATTATTCGTGTTTTACAGATGCATCATTGTTACGTTACGTAGGCTTGTCCACTGGGGACGAGCGTACCATCTCTGAGGACTACTCTTCACACACGGCTCGGCCAAATAAGCGAACCAATGACACTGCGAAGCGTGCTAAAAGGCGGAGCCACCACAGCCAAAGCCCCTCCCACTATCTTCTTCAGACAAATCAGAGGGAGTCTCCTCCCAGAGAGCAAACCTCTATGTATCATGTAAGTCTGGACTTCAGCATTTTCTCTTATTTTGTTTCTTTTTATTCTTTCTTAAGCCTCTTATTCTGCCTTTCATGTTGCTGTTTTATTTTTAATCTCAAAGGGATTACACAAAGTCAAGACAATTTTACACTGCTCATATTTATTTATTTATTCACTTATTTTTTTTATTTACTTATTTACCAGACCAAGAACTATATTTATAAAGAAGAGAAATAACAAGGGAAAAAAATGACACCATCACAGATTTGGCTATAGAAGTACAATTTGTATCACCCCTCTTTTTCAACTCCTGCCCCTCATGTCCTGATGTTATTATTTGTGTTTTGGGAAAAATGTTGTAATATTAATCTTCTATCTTGGAACAAATTTTTGACTCATACATATAAATGTGTTTATAACATTTTAAAGGCATTTAAACCTGAAATATGTCAATTTAAATACAAATAACCATAGAATTAGCAATCAACTTCGATTAATTCATGCTTGCTTACCTCAACTAATTTCTATTAACATTTGGGGGTGGAAGAGGGGTTATTGGGTAAAATAATTTTACAGTTAATCAGGGATATACCATAAACCTCCCATATCAGCACTGGTTGGGGAGGTTAATCTGGTGGAGCTTTATTAAGGTGTTGTCAGGTGAGGGGGAGCCATATAAGTTTCTGTGTTCGTTAACGAAGAAGTCAGGCTACTGTAGATTCGGTAAAAGTAGTATAATTGTTTTTTAAATATGTCCATCTGCCACTATCTATATAAGGGAAGCACTTTGCCAATTTTATTGAAACTGTCCAGTTGAGAAAATATATCATCCATCCATTCACCCAAGGTGGGTGCACTTTTTATGTTACTTATTTAGGACCATTTTGGAATATTTACAATCCCTCTAAGGACCAACAGACCCAATGGGGACCGAAGGCTGGTCCTGCTGTATTTTTTTCCTGCTTTTATTGTCATTACACTGTAACAAGTAGAGAGCAACGAAATTAACTCTGCATTTAACTCATCCCCTTGGAGGGCAGTGGGCTGCCATTGTGTGTCGCCAGGGGAGCAGTGTGGAACGTTATGTAGTTCTGAACTGGAATGTAATCTGGTTGTCTTGTGGGGTGCCTCAAAGGACGTTTCAGCTGCTGGCGTATACAGTAGTAAACTGAACTCAAGATGAAACAGTAAAAAAAAAAAAAACATGCTTTAACCAAACCTGTAAAAAAAATCTGTATATTTATGCCTCTGACACAGTTTTGACACCAATCCAAGCAATGTAGGAGGTCCGGTTCTTTGCCGTTAAGCCGTGCTGTCCACATGATTTTGTCAAAGGAAAGTTGACTCAGGAATGCAGCTTTGATCACACAGTCTTTATTTCATGGTTTGTGCATGTTCTTTTAAAACCGCATCAATATTTCTTCTATTCAAAGTAACTTCAAACAGCAAATAGATTAGTCTTGTTAATTTATCTGAGCCTGCTCCTGGCAAATCTGTTTAGGGAGAGGCTTGGAAGAACTTTCCATTCTTATTAAGTTAAGTCTTATTATGTTAAGTGACACCAGAAGCTTGGTTTGGCTACTCAAAAGAATAAATGAAAATGTCTTAAGCAGCAGGCGCGATAAGAAACCACCACAAGTTATGCTTCTAATGCTCTGACTGGTGGTCTGTCAAAGATTCTAAAACGGATATGGCGCACCTGTTTTGCGTGTGTGTGTTTGTGTTATACAGTACATCTGTGCTATGTGTATTTTGGCTTGGCTGGGTTGGGTTCGTCAGCTCTTGTTTTGGTCACAGCTATATGTCCTGTTTTATACCATAATACTACAAAGATATTGGCAGACCTGTTTTTGATCAGTCACAAATGTTAAAGTGGAAGCCATACAAGATGGCTGCTCATGTGTTTGGTAAAGCATAAATCATGCTATTATTTATCCTACAGACAAAGTTAGGTCTGAAGATAAAAAACAAAAAAGCCTAACTACAGTATGTTTCACTTTTACTATGCACATCCAGAATAGATTTTTTTTAGCATATATACAATAAAAAAGTAAATTGAACCCATAGGAACATATTAAACAGACCTAAAATATTCCAGAAGGTCTTTCTCCAATCTAATTTAAAAAAAAAAGATGCATATTAGTCATTAGGTGTGTTTCCATTAACCAAACTGCAAAAATTGTAAATAAAAAAAATCAATCTTCTAATTGAAAAATTCTGCAATTCCTAGAAAGGCTCGCATTTTTCAATAAAACATGTAAATGCTTCAATGGAGTAGTTTTTAGGTTATATCGTAAAGGTCATATTTTGCAAAACTGCAATGGAATCACTTTTCTTATCACACCAGTCACGTGATCTGCAGCTGGACTTCACTGCCTTATAAAAAGACGAAGAAGACCGGAATAACAAGACCGGATGATGGTACCCTTTGTTTGCCCTTGCTACCCCTTGATGGTAGCCCTTGCAGTGCACTCGTGGACCACTAGGGCCAATATCTTTGTAGTATTATGGTATAAAGCAGGACATATAGCTGTGACCAAGAGTACCCCTGTCGCTACCTGATCTGTACTGAAAGCACGATCTGTACCATCAGCTCATTTGTGCATGAGCAACCGATATACATCCGAGTTTCCACAAATAATTTAATAATGGTACTAAAATTACTTATTTCTATCCGTACCTGACTAAAGAATTCTAATAAACATCTTTAAAAATGTTTTATGACTTTTTTTGAGACAATTTTTATACTTTTTACAGATGATTAAACCATCTTTATCTGCATTTTAGTTGTTTCCTTCTTTAGATTACCGTATACATTGCATACTATAAGGTTAGTATGAAAGGAAAAAACAAAACTTGAAAAGACTAGATTTGTGTTTAAATCCAAAGCCAAAAATGTTAGCTACCGGAAATAGCATACAGTAGGATCCCATTTCCGGTTCAGATCAGGCAGAGATGAGTGATAAAACAGAAAGGATTTTAAGGCATCTATTTTTTCAGGAAAGACATTATTAACCTTAAACACATTATAGTTTAGTATGCTTACTATTTTTGGGGAGGAAAAAATTTAATTTAGGTCTTTTTTTAGAAATTATAATCCAGGGTGACCTGGATGTATATCTGGTTGTTCATGCGCAAATGAGCTAATGATACGAATCGGGTAGTGACACTCCCTGTTGGGAATCACCGAGCTACTCCACTAAAACATTTTCTCACTGACCTGTGGCGAAACACTCAAATAAATACTTACATTAAATAAAAATAACAAAACCTGCGGTCGGCAAATATAAAATTTTATATTTTGGTACTTTTCACCACAGACGCACAAAAAAAACGCCATATATTCACTTTACAACTACCTAACTTTTTGCAACTTACTAAATAACGTGAAAGGAAAATCAATGACAGCCTGGCCTGCTTCTTAAGGCTTACACTTGGGAGTCCCAGCACTCTCACCCATCGGTAGGTAGGGAGTTCTGCAGCTCTGAATAGAACAGAAAATATCAGTAGGATCATAATCTGGATGAACTGACTGCATTTTGAATTTGACCTTCTAGCTCAAAACATGTTAAAACTATTTATCATCCAACTCATCTAAGCAAATAAAGCCAAGCCAATCTCTAGATTGCAATGAAAGAACAGACGTCTGCCGCAGAGTATCCAGAGCTCAAAATGCACAGGCGTCCAAGTAGAGATGCCTTTTTGACATCAGTGTAAATGCAGCTTTGACCTTGCAGACCTCTTAAGCCTCAGTGAAGGTCAGAGATCATCATTAAAAAAGGAAAAATGGAGATTAGACAAAAAAGCCTGCATAGGAGATTTTCAAGAAACACTTGATTGCTAAAAAGAAAATAATGGCTTGTGTCACCAAAAACTGTTTCATTAAAAATTATACCTGATTGACAAATTAGAAATCTCTGGGGGATAGTGTGTGTTCAGATTGGAAACAGAATGTCATTGCAACAGTCAGTAATGATGCAACTTTTCTTTGTCAGGACCTGGGTGACTTGTAATGAATGGAACCATTATTTCTTGTCTTTAGCATCAAATCTTGGAGGAGAATCTGATTACTTAAAGCTTCTCCAAACTTAGATTATACTGCTGGACAATGATATTTTAAATATACAAGCAAATCTAAGTCTAAATCGCTAAGAAGACCCAAACTAAAGCTTTAGGACTGTCTTGGGAAAAGTCTGCTTTTCAGTCTCACTGACAGAATGACAGAGAACCAGCTAGAATACTTTAGTGGGTCCAATTTCTGTCTTTTGCCTGATTTAAGTGGAACTAAACTTGAATCTTGCTGCAGTATTTCTTCAGTCAAACTGAGTCTGTACTTAATTGCATTAGCATTGTGCACAACTGTAAACTGTGGATCGAAACTATCCTCAGTCAGAAAACTTCTCATTTAAATTCACCTTGCATCTGAACATCTCCAACATTCCTGACAAATATTTCAGCTTTGACCCCCAACTGAAATCTCTGCAGTCAAGTGTGACTCTGGCAAAGGCTGACTTGTTGTTATCCCCCTGCCACATTCATGACATCTGTTCACCCCGTCTGTCCGTCTGAGTTCAACACTCCCTGGTCCAGACTGGCTGGTTCGACCAGCAGTGACCTTACATGTCTTGTCAGAATCTCTTTGAAAATGAGAAACATCTGCATGTTTTGTATTCCGGGTTGTGCCTGCGTGGCAGTGGCAGCATGCGTGATGCTCTGATGACAGATGGCGTGTCGGTGGGAGTGGGAAGGCCCTCGTCATCTGTCCCTCTGCGTCTGCGGCTGTTAGTGGCTGCGCTGCGTCTCCTGAGATGTGTAATACTGTGACATCAGAGCTGGTCTGTTGCCCCATCTGATCCACTGAAAGATTTAATGTAAACACGGGGGTCAGGATTATGACGATGTATAAACCTAAAATTAGCACACTTTGTATCCAAAGATATTCGTCACTCTAACTAATACATACAGTAAATACACTCATATACAGCATGATGTGTTAAATACATATATTTTGAAATACCTTTACATGATGTACTACTATATACAAGTAAATATCCGTAATTTCCAACATTTCAATGTAAATTACAGTCTATGATTACAGCATATGTCACTGAGTAACATTACTGTTTTTTGTAGTCTTTGCGTTTTGTATTTTAAATCAAATACGTACTTATAAAATGTTATACAAGCAAAATATTGAATTTCTATGGGCATCTGAACGGCAGGCTTTCTAAACCTTATTTTGTTTAAAACAATGCATTCACCTGAATTAAGAAATTTATTGTGATTATAGTCTGTGTTTAAATAAGACCTCTAAATTTGCTTTACTTATTTAATTCATGTTGCAGTTGTTCCATATTTGAAACACATTTCTATCACGGTTGTCCTTGTCTGCAAACAGCTGCTCTATTTTTCTTTCTTCTCGTAACATTCCTGCATAACTTACATTTATTTATTGCAAATTACATATTTTCAAATTAATTTATATCAACCTTTGCCTGTCTGTGTGAAGAATAGTATCACCTCAGAGGATTTCTTGCATTTATATAACAATTACCAACAAAGCTTTTAATGTGATTCTGTGTGGCACATTTATTGTGACAGTACTGATTTCTATTATCTTTTCAAATAAAGATAGAAGTCTGCTGTACATTTATGAAGATAAAAACATAATGAACCCAAAGTTTTTCTTTTAGATGAAAAAAAACATTTAATATAATCTGTATATTTTGGCCACATATTTGAAGTAATAGCTTTGGGTGATCAACTCAAAATGAGGGATACCAGAACCACTATTTCTTTCTGTGTACCAACTGTAAACTGTAGCAGTTCAGTCCTTTTTTATTGTCACATTATAAAATAACTAAAACATGTGAACCGTTCTCAGATGTTATTTATTTATAGAGCAGCCACCCCAGCCTCAGCTTCCCACACTTCCTCCATCACCTGGACGTCCTATTGTGCCACCTGAATGTTACCCCTCAGCCCTCCGTTCTATGTTTAGACGTGTGAAAGCGGCTCGCTCTGACTCCTCCAGCCCTGGCTGTTTATGTCTGAGTGTGAGAGGACATAATGAGAGATGTGTTACTGTCCTTCATGTCTGTTTTCTTCAGCCTCCTCTCCTTGTGTCCTGCCGCCTATAAGAGCTGTCATCTTTTATATCCCAGGATTCACTGCACTGAACAAGTTCCACTGATCCGTCCTGACAGCATGCTCTGTCTCCCTGTTCTTTCCTCAGACATACCAGCAGTCATCCTCTTTGCAGGCGAAGAACAGGAAGAAGAATAAAGGTAAGGGGTGCTGACTCCTCTTCCTCCCCTTGGGCAGAAGCCTTGGTCACTCACAGGAAAATGTTTGGAGTATGCAACTTTCATTTAATATGTATTTTAATAAATTCTCCTTTATCCCTGAAAAGCAGTTTGTATGTTTTGCAGTGCTATGCTGCTTTTGCCTAAAAAAAGCAATTTTGCTAAAACATCACACCAGTCTCTCTCATGTTGTAGCTCCTGAGAAACCAGCAGGTTCTCTGTTGTTGAGATTCCTAAGCAAACAACAATCAGATTATGTATTGTAGGCGACTATCATCCAAAAATTTGTCACTGAGAGGAGAACAGGGATCTGTTCGACGCACTGAATCCAAGGAGGAAACAAAGCTTTACTGCAGTTAGGGATGTTTATTGTACACTTTTTCTGTGAGGCATTGTACAACAGGTAGATTTGCAGACTTATTTTGCTTTAAACTTGCGGTCAACAGAAATATTGTCACCGTGCCTTAGCATCTCTCTGAATCAAACAAACAAACAGCCTCAGAGCAGATCCAGGTGATATTCATTAGACAATCATTCAGCTCCAGACACATGCTAACACCCACTTATAGCTCCACCCACACATGCCCATACATACCTTTAACACCTGCACCCTACCCTTAGAGACTTGACAAAAATGCATCCTTGCCTCTACATGTATCATGCACATTCAAACACCTCAGCAACATGTGGAGTAAATGTGAATTTCTATTTAATTAGGAAA